ATATCTTGTCAATTCCGCTAGTACTTCATTCCAACGATTCTTCGTCTCACTGCCACGCTGCAGGCCAGTTTGTAGTGATGTCATACTTTTCACCGATGTCTGCCATGTTGCCCGATCTGCCAAATTCGGCGTACCAAACGTAAGCTAGGTAGTCGTGCGCTGTCAAGACGACTAGCAAACTGGCGGACTGCTCATTTTCCTTCGTGGTAAGGTGGGAATAGCTAGTTGAACTGGAGGAACAGGCCGGATCGTCGCAAGCCAGATGGCGCATTGAAGTTTTGGACCAGAACTAATGGTACCTAGCCATCACCTAGCTGTGCAAGCTCCCGTGTATGGTAGCTTTTCAGGAACTGCTCCTGGCGTCCTGCTGTTGTCCCACGCCCCCCTTCTTTGTTAAATTGATTTTTTTGGTGGCTTGTTGGTGACTTCTTCCCGAAGTTGCCGAAGCCCTCCCTGGTAAGCGTTACCACACGAACCACGCGAGGAATGTCTCTTATCATCCAACGGCATTTGGAACTTCTAATTGATCTTGCGTATAATTGTCAGTCGATGGAAAAGCGAGAATGATGCCGGCTATTCGCCCGTGCGTAATGACGTTGCCAACAGTCGGTTTTTTGGTGTGAATAAGATGAAGCGAAGAGAGACTGCGGTTGATCGTAATCATCTGTGCCCAGATTGTCACTGACCTGCAGTCCTACACCAATGTTTTGGGGCAATCATGTCTCAGATACATAGACCTCAGATGCAAATGCGACTAAAGCAAGAGAGCTCCTGCAGCTCAGCTCTGTCAGCTGGTTGATCAACATGTTGATCTTTGGCAAGAGGTGCATCCTCCATCTCTTGTGGCGTTGTGGCTGGAGAATTAGGGTAAAGCCTCAGCCACATGTACTGCCACATCCTGCCCAAGCCACATAGGAAATTGCAGAACCGACATTCCGACCGACTAACCGACTGCCTCACGCGTCGAACCTAAATCCCGCCCAAGCAAACCGAGCCCGAGGTCGGGACCTTGCTGCATCTGCCGTCGGATTATTTTGCCGAATTTGGCTCGCTTTCACGTATGCCGCCCCCGGCCTCCGCATACCGACGCACTTCGCAACCGCAAAGCTGCACTTGACCGCCCGCCGTTCGAGGGCTGGCAGAAACTCGGCAACCCAACTCAACAGAAAATTGGAGGGGCTGTCCCGCTTTCGCGATCTTACGATATCTGGTTGCACGCTCGCCCTTCCAGCTTCGACATCGTCACCAATTGACTGCGACAGCTTTCCCGATTACTCCAGCTTCGCGGTTGTCTAGTGAGTAGCACGTGTTTCTTATCCATGGCATCGACTGACCTATTGTCCTTTTTCGCAAATTTTCCAGATTTCCCTAGACCCGTAACGAAAGAGCTAGCAAGCTCCCAGCTACACGTCCAATCCCGCTTTCTGTGGAGAAAAAGAGTCCTCGGACACCATTTTCAAAATGTCCGAATTGACTACCCGCAAATACTTTGACAACATTTACATTCCCGCTGGTCTGATCGTCTTCGGATGCTTCATTACCAAGCGCGAATGGACGCCGTACGCTGTTGCCCTGGCGCTCGCGTTGGCAGCCTACAAGTTCAACGCCATGCGTGAGTTCGGCCCCTCTCGGAATACCTCGGAATTGCCCACTGACGAACCCCCTCACGCAGAGATCAAGAAGGTCCTGAAGCCTGATACCTTCCAGGACTTTGAACTCAAGGAGAAGACCATCATCTCGCACAATGTCGCCATGTAAGTCGTACTTGCGAAGCTTCAAAGCCCGGAATTCCCAGCTGACAAGCGTCCGAAGCTACCGCTTCAACCTCCCCAGCGAGAAGGCCATCCTCGGCCTGCCCATCGGCCAGCACATCTCCATTGGTGCCAACTGCCCCCAGCCTGATGGCACCACCAAGGAGATTGTGCGCTCCTACACTCCCATTTCTGGCGACCACCAGCCCGGCTACTTCGACCTCCTGATCAAGTCCTACCCCACCGGTAACATCTCCAAGTACATGGCATCGATGAAGGTCGGGCAGACGCTCAAGGTCAGGGGTCCCAAGGGCGCCTTCGTCTACACCCCGAACATGGTCCGTCACTTTGGTATGATTGCTGGCGGCACTGGTATCACTCCCATGCTCCAAATCGTCCGCGCTGTCATTCGTGGTCGCCCCACCGGTGACAAGACCGAGATTGACCTCATCTTCGCCAACGTTACCCCTCAGGATATCCTGTTGAAGGAGGACCTGGACGCTCTCGCCAAGGAGGACGCTGGGTTCCGTGTGCACTACGTTCTTGACAAGCCCCCTGCGGGCTGGACCGGCGGCGTCGGTTACGTCACCGGCGACATGATTACCGTAAGGCCTCCCAGTGGATCTCGTATCCTGCGTGCAGAGCTAACCTACACTACAGAAGCTTCTCCCCAAGGCTGCCGACGACGTCAAGCTTCTGCTTTGCGGTCCCCCGCCAATGGTCAGCGGTCTGAAGAAGACGGCCGAGACTCTTGGTTTCAAGAAGGCCCGCCCTGTGAGCAAGCTCGAGGATCAGATCTTCGCTTTCTAAGCTTGTCAAAGCTAGAGAAAAGTCGGCCTAAACAAATTAAAAACTACATTGCGTGGGAGGAAACGGCGTTCTGCATGTTGATGGGCACCAGGGGAAGTCGATATAGATGCATTTCCAGATTTCAAGGTGCTGTTCCAAGGGTCCCGTAGATAAGAGCTTCTGCATTCGGATAGCTTTGTTGCGACTGAGCTGTCGTGTAGAAAGTGTGCCCCACCTTACATAATGCCACTACATCCTAATCCCTGCAAGTTGACGTCGCAAAGTGAACCGACCACTACTTCGTGTGAACCAGCGTGCCAGGCTACAACCACGAAATTTCTCTTTCTGTCAAAGCATTTCACAACACAACCTCGTCGACACTCAGCGCCATGTCAGACGGTTCGAAAGCTCCGAGGATAGCGATCAGCTTCGGCGGCTCCTCAAGCTCAAAAAATAACAAGAAACCCTCGCGCCCAGACCCACCTTCATCACTCGGCAAACGGTCAAGAACGAATGCGCTGAACAACTTTGACTCGGACTCGGACGGCGAGCGCGATCATGGCCGGGGACGACACGAAGCGATTACAGAACTCGGCGGCGACTCTGATCGAAAACGAGAAAAGAAGCCCCGCGAGCTGGTGATCGAGAAGCAGAGCAACCGCGACTGGAAGGCGGAATTGCGCGGGCGCCGGGGAGGCAAGAATCTGCTGCCTGCCGAGGTGCAGGCGCAGCGAGAGCAGGAACGGAACGGCGCGCAGCAGGAGGTAGAGAGAGAGCCCGCCGATGCTGAGAAGCAGATACAATGGGGGTTGACCGTCAAGAAGCGCAAGACGAGCGAAGAGGGAACCACACCCAGAGAGCAGGGTGAGACAGCAGCAAACGACGACGACAACGACGGACAGGGCGGCGATCGGTCACCAAAGGAGAAACGGGCACCTCGTACAGCGGACGAAGACGCCATGGACGCCTTACTCGGAAACAAGCGCCAGGAGGAAGAAGACATTGTCATACAGGCCACGGAGCAGGATGCCTACCTCTCCGACATCAAGCACGTGGGCGAGGACGCGACGCTCGCAGACTACGACGCGATACCGGATGGCGAGTTCGGCGCGGCGCTGCTGCGAGGCATGGGCTGGGACGGCAAGATGCGCGGGCCCAAGAAGAAGCAGCCGACCGAGAGGCGGCAGAACCAGCTCGGCCTGGGGGCTAAGAAGCTCGAGGGCGCCGAGGACCTGGGGCAGTGGAACCACGGCGGGAAGAAGAAGAGCGGACGGCCGCGGCTGGACGAGTATCGTCGGGAGGAGGAGAAGAGGCGCAGCGAGCGCAAGGAGCGGAGGGGTGAGAGCTATAGGGATGAGAGGGATCGTGAGCGGGAGAGGGACCGAGATCGGGATAGGTATGGTGGTGGGCACCGTGATAGGGAGAGGGAGCGGGAAAGGGATAGAGATCGGGATTATTACAGCTCCAGACATCGGAGCGGCGACTCAAGACGATGAAGAATCTGCGGCGGGTTCAGCGAGAGGCTGTTCCCTGTTTCAGGTCATGGCAGAATTGAATAGTTTGTCCACGGATAAATAGACCAACCGGACATGTTATTCATGACACTCCCAAAAAGAAATCCATTAGGTAGCGAGGGTAGCCCGCGGCGTCGGTGACGCCCATCAACATCAGTATACTGGATCCAGTTACCATCATGACTTCGGAACACAATACCAGAGCATGGCCGGACCGATTGTACATGATGTGATGCCTTGAAAGCCGCATCCTACTCAGGTTGTTTCCCACGTCCAATAAGGCCGAAGACTCGCCGTGACTAAACAGCATTAATTGATGTCGGCGCTGCCTCCGCACTACCTACGTCGTGTACTTCCACCTGACCGCTGGTTCATTGTGGGGAGGTGGAAACGCCCAATATTTGCAAAGTATGGTACGCAAGTCTTTAGTCAAGTGAGAATCACGGAGGCCGAAGAAACCGTGATGAAAAGACTTCGAACCCCATGGGGCTTCGCTGCATCCGTCTGGGGATTCCCCTTGGGCGCATGATCCACGCAGCCACGCAACCCTGAGGGTTGGTTGAAGATACCCAGGTCTCGACAAATGTGGCGTCTTCTCGTGGGCATCAATAACCACAGTCGTTATCTGTTTAAAGTTTGTCATAGCAATGGTGCCCCCACGAAGGCTTCCCTCTGTCGTGTCATGGAGAAGGAACTCTCGTGTCATGGACCACTTCGACCTCGGAGGGCAGTGACCGCTGTGGGCTATGGACACCTGCAATTCGTTCCATCGGTCTTGTTTTTTTTTTTCTTTTCTTCCTCCTTTGCCATCCTACACATATCTCCTCGGCCTTTTCCTTCTCCTCAGATAACATTGCTTCGTTCAGCACATTCTGGGTCGGGCATTTCGTCAACTCCATGTTTACAACTCAGCTTCAGCAGTATTCCATCGATTGCCCATTTCATCATGTCGTCTATACACGAAAAGCCCGTGTCCTCTGTACAGGAAGTACAAGATAAGGAGATTCCCGATACGATTGCCTCCAACCTGGAGGCCAAGGCTGCCAGAGACTACGAAGAGCATCACAACTACATGCAGACCGTCTCGAAGTACCTCCCCGCGATCAAATGGTCCATATTCTTCGCCATGACCATCGTCGGCGAGGGGTACGACCTCGCTCTGATGGGCAACTTTTTCTCCTTGGATCAGTTCCAGAACCTCTTCGGCTACGCTCCGCAAGAGGGCGCTGTCAAGGAGATCCCAACACTCTGGCAGTCCTTGATCCTTACTTCAAGCCAGGCCGGTCAAGTTGCGGCCATGTACTTCGCCGGTTTGTCCATGGACAGGTTCGGCTACCGAAAGACGATGATGTTCTCTCTCGGATCGATCATGGTGCTCCTACTCGTCAACTTCTTCGCGCCGGCGGTCTTGCCCACGGGAGGCTATAAGGCTGGTCTCGGCATGATCTTCGCCGGCGAGTTCCTCTTGGGACTCCCTTGGGGGGCTTTCCAGGCCTGCGTTCTTCCCTATGCTTCCGATATCTCGCCCCTCAAGCTTCGTCCGACTCTAACCACTTTCGTCTCCATGTGCTGGATTTTCGGCCAGCTCTTCTCGACGGCGGCAATCAAGGGTGTTGCGAACATTGAATCCAACGACCTCATGGCATACCGTATCCCCGTCGGCATCCAATGGATATGGCCTCTTCCTGTTCTCCTCTGCGTCTTCCTTGCCCCCGAATCGCCTTGGTGGCTCATGCGCCAGTCTCGTTCCGACCTCGCGCGCACTTCCCTTGCAAGACTCAACAAAGATCCGACGTACCCAGTTGACGGTCAGGTCAAGGTCCTCGAGCTCACCAACGAGCAGGAGAAGAACAGCCAAGATGATTCCAATATCACGTACCTGGAGTGCTTCCGTGGCACCAACCTTCGCCGTACCATGATTGTCGTTACCATGAACTTGACGCAACAACTCTGCGGTTCGGCTCTTATGTTCTACTCGGCCAAGCTATACCAGAAGGCTGGCATGAGCAGTTCCAAATCATACGACTTTACGCTGATTCAGTACGCGATCGGCATCATCGGCATCGTCTCTTCTTGGCCCCTGATGAACTACGTCGGACGCAGAACCATCTGGCTCTGGGGATTGATGGGCTCCATCATTCTCATGACAGGTGTCGGCGTGCTAGGTTTCCACAGCGACCAGCACCCGGCAGTTCCTTGGGTCATCGCAGTCATGCTCGTGATATTCACAGGAGTCTACAATCTTTCCATCGGACCTCTCGTGTACGCTATCAACCCCGAGATTCCTTCGACCCGACAGAAAGCCAAGACACTTGTCATCGGCCGAGTAGCCTATCTCATCGCAGGACAATTCAACATGTGGCTCTTGCCAAGAATGCTGGAAAACGCTCCTAACGGATGGGGTCTTGGACCTCGGACGGCGCTGGTGTACGCTGCTATCAACGCCGCCTTCTACGTCTGGGCCTACTTTTGTCTGCCGGAGGTCCGGGACAGAACTCAGGCCGAGATGGATGAGCTTTTCAAGCTCAACATACCTGCTCGAAAATTCCGTAGTACCGAGCTGACGGCTGAATAAGGTGGTTTGTGTTTGTCAGCTGTTGCCCAGCAGTTGTCCAATCTCGTCTGGTGGAAGAGATCGAAGGGAGACGTCTCTGCTTCCTTTGTATTAGGCCCAGTCCAGTTTCGCGTGGTTTTGGAGTTCAGTATTGGGATAACGCATTACATGATAATTATGAAAAGTAAAAGTTTTGAAAATTAATCTCCCTTAACGTATGTCTGAGTAACAGAAGCTACCTCCAAGAAGCATGTCTCGGCACTGCTCTGTTATATGTGCAACATCGGTGATGACATACCTATCCCAATCCAAGCTCTGTTAGTGGCCCAGGGGCTGCCGGCACCAAAAGGTGCAGGATCCTTAGCCCCTGAATCGTGTTCTCGTCCGCCCCACCACAGCTGCCGCTGCGGCTGCTGCCGGAACTTGGTGGACTTCCCAATTTTGAGCTCCTTTCGTCAGTTCGAAACCGTCTCTCCTACATGCTGCGATCTGCAAAGCAGCCACAACACACGAACACGACTCCAAAGCAGGGGCTTGACAGCTTCCTTTAACCCAATGGCCATCGAGTGCCGGCCTTAATATTTCATCTCTTTTTTTTCCTTCTTCTTTTTTGTGAACACGCTACCAGCTAAGACAAGCCGCAATGCCTCAAAAATCCCCCAAACCGAAGGCTCCGCCGCCCACCGACTACAAAGCCATCGCCGAGCAATTCGCCAAATTGAAGCGCCAAAGGGAGATTGAGGAGGCTAGCAGATCCCCCGAGGAGATCAAGGCGGAAAAAGAACGAGCACTCCTTCGCGAGAAGCAGCGCGAGGTGCTTGAAGGCCGGCGCAAGAATGCCTACGAGCGTAGATGGTGGTGGACTGTTGCGTTCTGGGCGTGGATGCTGTGTCTACATGCTATTGGCATCGCCTTCTTCACCAGCGGCTTTCTCCTGACGCGACTGGTCCTCGACGAGAAGTCCAACTGTACGGCACCCCCGCTCGAGCTCTCGTCGAGCTGGAAGGGCCAAGGCACGGTCCAGGGCGGTTGCTGGCACCCAAAGTCGTTTGACAAGGCCGTGGTCGTCATCGTCGATGCGCTGCGGTACGACTTTACGGTTCCTATGGAGGACCAGGCTCCTTTTCACAACGCGTTACCCTTCTTGCACGAGACTGCCGTCAAGTCCCCGGAACACGCTTTCCTGCGCCCCTTTATCGCCGACCCGCCGACTACTACTCTCCAGAGGCTGAAGGGTCTGACCACTGGTACACTGCCCACGTTCATCGATGCCGGTAGCAACTTTGCTGGTACCGCTATTGAGGAGGATAATCTTCTCATGCAACTGAAGGACGCTGGGAAGCGCATCGCGCACCTGGGCGACGATACTTGGATGTCTCTGTTCCCCGGTTATTTCGAGGCCAACGTGAGCAGAGCGTACGACAGCTTCAACGTCTGGGACTTGCATACCGTCGACAACGGGGTTATTGATCACATCTTTCCTCTCCTCAAGCAGGAGCAGAAGGGTAAGTGGGATGTTCTCATCGGTCACCTCCTTGGTGTCGACCATGCCGGCCATCGTTACGGACCAAACCATGCGGCAATGACGGCCAAGCTCCAGCAGATGGATATCTTCATCCGCGATCTTGCCGCTCAAATCGATGACAATACTCTGCTCGTCGTGATGGGAGATCACGGCATGGATAGCAAGGGCGACCATGGCGGCGAGAGCGACGACGAGGTCGAGGCAGCTCTGTGGATGTACTCGAAGCGCCCTTTCTTTGGTCGGACCAAGCCCGAGTTCAAGCAGCCCCCGAGCATGGCCAAGGTCAGACCGGTCAATCAGATTGACCTCGTACCAACTCTGGCACTTCTTCTGGGCATCCCGATCCCTTACAATAATCTGGGACGTCCCATTGAGGAAGCTTTCGCTGGCAAGAAGGGCAAAGCCTGGGATAATCTGGCGGCTGTATCACGGTTGACCGCCGCCGGCATACAGCGATACCAAGACTCGTACTTTGCTGCCCGTGGCATTGATCAGTCCAAGAGCGCCACGGCCGGTCACGTATCGAACCTCTGGAGGAAGGCCGACCGTTCATGGCAGTGGAAGAATCACCAGGAATCCTATGGCTTTTTCAACATGTTCCAGGAGGAAACTCTGCGCATCTGCAAGGACTTGTGGGCCCGTTTCGATGTGCCCAAGATGGTGACGGGTATTGTGGTCATGGCGGTCGGAGTCATTACTCTGCTCGTCTATGCCTCGCGCGACGAAGATGAGGACTTTGCTGTTCTCGACGATCTCGAGCTGGACCAGGCAGAGATGAAGCTGGAACTGCAGGGTGTCCAACCCGATGGAACTGCGTCGTACAAGACTCTCCACGAGAAGATCTTCCTTGCGGCAATTCTCGGCGCTGTACCTGGAGCACTGGTTGGCGCCGGATACTCCGTCTTCACCGGCCCCGAGGATCTGGTCTACGCTGTTGCTGGCGGCGCTGTCACTAGCGCGCTAGGTGTCCTGTTCTCGCTTTATGGCTTCGGCAAGACTCTTCGCAATCTTCTGCCCAACAATATCTGGGGTTGGCTTGCCGTTCTCTTCACGGTCAGCCAGTCCATTGGTTTCGCATCAAACTCATACACCATCTGGGAGGATTCGATCCTCCTCTTCTTCATCACGACCTTTGGCGTAGCGAACGTCTTTGCTGCGTTCTCAGTGCCTACGATGCGGGAACGCACCCTCGCGATATACCATTCGGTTCTTTTTGTCATTCTTGGTCGGCTCGCATCATTTTCCAAACTCTGCCGTGAGGAGCAAATGCCCTACTGTACTTCGACCTACTATTCCTCGGCTACCTCTTCAACGTCTTCTACCTGGCAACTGGCCATTCCTTTCGCCGTCGCCCTTATCCTGCCTTCCATCATCCAGTCTTTCCTTCTGCCTACTCGCAACTGGGAGGGGCTTGGACCAGCATGGATTGGTTATGTCTACCGCATTGGCTTGCTTCTATCAGCATCATACTGGGTTCTCGATGCCGCCGACAATGGCGATTGGTTTCCAGACCTGCCGGCCCAGACCCTGAAGAACGCCGGAACCTACATGGCCCAGATGATTCTCGCTCTGGTTTTCGTAGCGGGCACTACCGCCTTTGTCTGGGCGCCGCCGCTGGTCTCTATCTTCAGAACACCTACAAACGCCGGCCCCCAGATCACTGTTTTGGGCTATGGCAACACGCATGGCTCGAGATATCTGCTTCTTCCAATGAACATTGTAGGAGCCTGCATCCTCCTGTCCAAGCCTATGGGAGGTGGCGCTTTGGCCCTGATGTTTTGGCAGATTCTTTCGCTCGTGGAGATTCTCGACCTTAACTCTTTGACAAACGAGGCGATTGGACCCATTATGCTTGCAATCATTGGTAACTTTGGGTACTTCAAGACAGGCCACCAAGCTACACTCAGCAGTCTCCAATGGGACAGCGCTTTCATCCCGCTATTCACCATCAGATACCCATGGAGTCCCATCGTCATGGCCCTCAACACATTCGCGGGTCAAATCGTTGCGGTCGCGGCCGTTCCTCTCATCGTACTCTGGAAAGTGAGTCCCAAAAGGAAGGGAGTACTTGAGAGCGTCGGCAGAGCGCTGGGCATATTTGTTGCCTACTTTGCCGTTGAGTCTTTGGCAACCATGGCGTGGGCTGGGTGGCTGAGGAGACATCTCATGCTGTACAGAGTGTTCAGCCCCCGCTTCATGATGGCGGCGGCTCTGCTGCTGGTGGTAGACTTGGTTGGACTTGTCATCACGCTCATCGGTGTCAGATCCAACACGATGGCGGTGAGCGAGGTTTTTGGCTGGGTTGAATAAGATTGCCGTTTTGGTCAGTTCGATAGAAAATCGAACAACAATACCACTGTATCATTATAATTGTATAGTCATGGGGAAAGCATCCGGCCAGGGAGCTAATAAAGGCAGTGTGTGAACAAAAAACTGAGGTTTGCTGCGCTGACACCCGTATTAATAGCTTTGTCCTTTGCCTCGGTAATACCCTGCCTCAACGTATTGGTGGTTTGGAGAATGGACAGGCATTACAGGACGATGTGCCTCTTTGAATGAGATCAAAGGACAGCCGGTTATCAGGCAGATATGGAACATGCACCTGGCAGAGCATCAAGCGCTCCGCCCATCGGAGCATTGGTCAACGGCAGTCGCCATTCTACGTCTTTGAACCAGTTGCTTCGATGCTGGAGCTGGGGAGCTTGGCCAAGAGCTCTGGGTTTTGCGTGCTACCCTGATTATATAAGCTAACCTTTCGATACTTGAGATGGTTTCCGGGGACTTCCAAAACTCAGCAAAGGTTGCCGGGACCGTAAGTATCAGGGAAGCTCCCAGATGTATCAGGATCTGTGCACAGCAAAACCCCACTTGGGTCGGTAATCAGCTCCCAGGCCTGGCGCCGCCTGCCGCAGGAGAACCGTGGCCTACGTGCCTACCTAGAGGAGCACAGGGCACGTCGTGGTCTGGCAGCAACAATTGTGTGTTATTTTTTTTCTTCTTGGTTCCTTTGCCCTTTCCACATCTTCGGATTGCGCCTGTGCTAAGGTAAGGTACCTACGGCTGGTACCCCGGGAAGCCCAAAAAAGTGTCCCTCCCTGCTTCTCACGACATTTCGACCGCAAACGAAAATTAGAAAATAGGAAGAAAAAAGAAGACCATCCACATCCACATCCACGTCCCACTCTCTCCTCCCACTTCGTAACCCGCTCCGCTCTTCTTCAGAGAAACCCGCCCGCCGCCGCCGCCCCGAACGACCAGATCTGCTGAACTGAACACACACAAAAAACCCACACACACACCCTGAGCCGGTTTTATCCCAGTGTCCCTCTGCCTCTGAACTGTGCACATTCATTTTTCCACCCTTCCCATCGACCATCCCTTCTCTCTTTTGATCTCCGCACATCGCTGCTGCTCTCGTCACGCGTCTCCATCTTCTTCCACCTCAAGCTCCCGCCGCCCCCTCGCATCGTCGTCGAAACCCTTTTTCCGGCGTATC